CACCTGCCACAACGCCCTGCTATTTTTACAGGTGGGTCTCACTCTGGCTTAGGCTAGTTTCAAACCTGTGAGCTCAGGCAATCCAGAGCGCTGGGATTACAGGTGTGAGCCATCATGCCCTGCCAAGCTAATTTTTCTATTTTTTGTAGAGATGGGATCTTGTTCTTTCTCAGGCTGGTCTCTAACTCCTGTGCTCAAGCAATCCTCTTACCTCAGCCCCCTAAACACTTATTCTGGTGACTTTTGCACTTAATTCCTCATAGTTTGATAATGAACAATTTGCAGACTTGAACTTGCCTTGGATCATACTTTGAGTAACATTATTTTACAAGGTCCTTCGTGGTCTGGCTCCTGCTACTTCTCTGACTTTATTTCTTATAGCCCCTCCACCCCACCCCAACCTTCGTTATTCTGCTGCAGCCATACTGCCCTCCTTACTGTTTCCCTGAACATTCCAAAGACCTCCAGATATTTATACTTGCTGTTCCTTTTGCCTGAAATGGTATAGTCCCATATCTTCCCTAGCTTTCTTTTCCAATTCACCCATATCTGTGTTCAAATAAGTAGTGGCCTTATCTGTGGGAGATACATTCCAAGACCCCCAGTGGATTTCTGAAATGTGAATAGTATTGAACTAGACTGCTGCTAACTGGAATGTGTTTCTATTCATACTTTCCACCCACAAATTTAACATCGTTTCCATCTTAAATAAGCACTTATCACACATTGTGGTTGTAACTTTTGCAATTTGAGATGCAAAAGCATAGCTAGCATGAATTTCTTTTTCCTTCTTCAAAATTTCACAGATGTCAGATTTGTTTGTAGTGGAGAACTTAGTAACCTCACCATTTGATTTTTTTTTCCTTATTAAGTATCTTAATTGGGAGGCTGAGTTTACCTTTTCACTTAAAGGAAGCACTTTAAAACTTTTCTCTGGCATATCCAAATTGCTAACATCACTACTCTTGGGTTTTGGGGCTATTGTTAAGTAAAATAAGGATCATTGAGCATAAGCAGAGATATACAGTGATGGCCAATCTGATAACTGAGATAGCTCCTAAGTGTCTTAAGGGCAGGTAACATCTATAGGGTGGATATGCTGGTCAAAAACATGACTTATGTTCCAGATGGGATAGAGTGGGACTGCATGAGATCTCATAAGAATGACATGCATCTTAAAAACTTATCAATTGTACCCCAGAAGTGGATTAATGTACGTAGTTACCATTCAATAAAAAAAAACTTATCAATTGTTTATTTCTAGAATTTTCCATTTACTATCTCTTGATTGATATTGACCACAAGTTAACTGAAACCTCATAAAGTGAGACCCAGATCAGGGGGCTCTTTTGTATTCCTTATCAGAGAGGTCTTTTCTGAAAATACAGGTTGAGCAACGCTAATCTGAAAATCCAAACTGGAAAATGCTTCAATATCTGAAACTCTTTGAGCACCAACACAACACCACAAGTGGAAAATTCCACACCTGACCTCATGTGACAGGTCACAATCAAAAAAGTCAAAACAGTTTCATGCACAGAATTATTAAAAATACTATATAAAATTACCTTCCGAGTATCTATATAGGGTATATATGAAACATAAATGAATTTTGTATTTAGACTTGGGTCCCAGTCCTCAAGACATCTCATTGTGTATATGCCAATATTTGAAAATCCAAAAGAATCCAAAACACTACTGGTCCCAAGCATTTTGGCTAAGAGATACTCGACCTGTGTAATGTATCAATTCTCAGTACCATCTGCTCTTTTTCTTTTACTTTTCTTCATAACACTTATTACAATCAGCTATAACCACCACTGTCTTATCTCTGGCTGCCATAACAAAATACCATAGACTGGGTGGTTTAAACAACAGCAATTTATGTTCTCAACAATTCTAGAGGCTAGAAGTCCCAGATTAGTATGCCTGTGTGACTGGACTTTGATGAAGGCTCTTCCTGACTTACAGATGTGTGCCTTCTCACAGTGTCTTCACATGGCCTTTTCTTAGTGCAGGGATCGGGAAAAGAGCATATATGAGCTCTCTGGTGTCTCCTCTCATAAGGACACTAATTCTGTTGCATCAGGGATCTACCCTTATAACCTCACTTAACCTTAATTACTTCCTTAGAGGCCCCATTTCCAAACACTGCCATACTGTGTGGTGGGCCTTCAACCCATGAATTTTGAGGGGACATGTTTAGTCCATAGTACCTGCTGTCTACGTAAAATCGGAACACCTATGAACAGAAACTTCTGCTTTATTCCTGCTACATTCCTAGGACTAGCATAGTGGCTGACATATAACAGATGAGTGAATGTCCCCAGTTTCCATTACCATGATCTCCAGCTCTACTAAACCATTTATAATTCCCGGGTTTGATCATCTACTTTAAGGTTTCTGAGCCTTTAAACATGCTGTCCTTTTTCGCCTGGGATGTCTTTTCTGAGGAAATTATATTCATGTTTCAAGATCCATATTGAAAGACCAGGTGCAGTGGCTCATGCCTGTAATCCTAGCATTCTGGGAGGCCAAAGCAAGAGACTCCCTTGAGCTCAGGAGTTTGAGACCAGCCTGAGCAAGAGCAAAACCCCATCTCTACTAAAAACAGAAAAAATGTAGTCAAGCTTGGTGGCACATGCCTATAGTCTCAGCTACTTGGGAGGTTGAGGCAAGAGGATTTCTTGAGCCTAGGACTTTGAGGTTGATGCCACAGCACTAGCCAGGGAGACAGAGGGAGGCTCTGTCTCAAAAACAGAAAAATAAAAATTAAAAAATCTGGATTAAAAGTTTTATCTTCTGCAAAGGTTTCCTAGGATCACCTTCATCTATAGAATTAATTCCTCCTTCTTATTCAATCACAACTATCTTTTATGTGCCCTGCCCCCCTTGCTGGATTGAGAGTTTCCTAATGGCATTGATATTTATGATTCATCTTTGCATACAAGGCTGCAACACAGGACCCGAAGTGGAATGGGTGTTCTGTAATTATTTGATGTGTGATCAGAGCTATTCAAATATCAGAGACTGCCTTGATGTGATTAATTTTCTGATACTAGAAATATCCCTATAGGCTGATAGAAGGCCCTTTGGGAACATTCCAGTGGATCCAGCTAATTAGCTGTTTTCCAATATTCTTTTGAGTCTGGTTCTGGTGACCTTTGTAACTCTTCTAACAGTGTTAATATCCATTCCCCATTCCTAGTTATGTGGCTCTGGACACTGGCCAGAGGCTGGCAGGAGTGGGTCCCTGGGCTTATATGCCTCCTCCCATCCCTCTTAGGTGTCTTCCATGAGGCAGGTGTCTAGCTCCCTGATGGATGTGGCTATCTCCTTGTTTATGTTTTTATTATTTATTTATTTATTTATTTGAGACAGAGTCTCACCATGTCACCTTCCGTAGAGTGCTGTGGCATCACAGCTCACAGCAACCTCAAACTCTTGGGTTTAAGCGATTCTCTTGCCTAAGCCTCCCAAGTAGCTGGGACTACAGGCACCTGCCACAGCGCCTGGCTATTTTTGTTGTTGTTGTAGTTGTCATTGTTGTGGCAGGCCCGTGGCAGGTTTGAACGTCCCAGCCCTGGTGTATGTGGCCAGCACCCTAGCCACTGAGCCACAGGCCCTGAGCCTGCTTCCTTGTTTAAATGATGAAGGGAATCAGAAGACATAGCACCTCTTGATGGATGATATCCTAGGTCTCTGAGTTAATGTGGTTTAGAGGGCACATCCTGTTTATTCTGAAGTTATTAAGGGCCTGAGATGCTATCCTATTTGCAAATCAGAGTCAGCCTCTAAAGGTTATCCACATATGTACTAAGAGAACACAAGCCATCTGATTCAGGACAGACTGTATCTTGCATCAGTTCCCCATGCCAATTCCCCATTATATGGGGGAGTGACACAGTACCCACCGGTAGGAGGGGTTTTACAACACAAGAGAAGATTCTTCTTCTTCTTCTTCTTTTTTTTTTTTGCAATTCTGGGGTACAGTGTGGTGTTTTCACATATAATTTGAACACTTCCAACAAACTGGTTAACATAGCCTTCATGTCATTTTCTTAGTTATTGTGTTAAAACGTTCATATTCTACTCTTAGAAAGATTCACTTGTACCCTTGTAAGATAAGAAGATTCTTGAAAAGTATGAAACACAGAGCTTATATAGAACAGGAGGCACCAATGCCCCTTATCCCTGGGGGGGGGGGCATGAGACAGACATGAGATTGGGAAGGAGGGAAGAGAGACCCCTATCAAATGTCTCTGGGTTCTATTACTTTCTTTCTTTCATTTTTTTTGGAGACAGAGTCTCACTTTGTTGCCCTCAGTAGAGTGCTGTCACATCACAGCTCACAGCAACCTCCAGCTCTTGGGTTTAGGCAATTCTCTTGCTTCCTGAGTAGCTGGGACTACAGGTGCCCACCACAATGCCCTATTTTTTTTTTTTGTTGTTGTTGTTGCAGTTTTTGGCCAGGGCTGGGTTTGAACCCACCACCTCCAGCATATGGGGCTGGTGCCCTACTCCTTTGAGCCACAGGCACCACCTACAACGCCCTGTTTTTTTGTTGCAGTTTGGCCAGGGGTGGGTTCAAACCCGCCACCCTCCTTATATGGGGCTGGGGCCCCTACTCACTGAGCCATAGGCACTGCTCTGGGTTTTATTACTTTCAAAAGGCAGAAGGTGGCTCTCGGAACATGCCTGGGAGGGGAAACATTCTGTATCTTCCAAGTTATGTTTACCCTTCAAACATCTTTTAACCTAGGAGACAGTAATCTGACTGAAAACTCTGACTGCACAAACACTCATTTCTCCCACATAACCCTAGCCAGGCAACATTTCTCTGTCCCTTATGTCCCTGCAGTTCTTTCCTTGGGGGCAGGACAAATGGAGTTTCTAGAGAGTTAGAATGAAGAAAGCCTAAGTATGATGGATTTCCCATCTAGCACTGTGCCCACCACTCAACGGACAGTCAGTAAAGGTCTCTTAAATGAAGACATGGACCCATTGCTAAAGATTTTAATAAAGGGTTGCTTGGTCAAGAAGTCCTGAATGTCCTTACGGGGCTCCCCTGAAGCCAGGACAATCTGAGTCCATTCTCCCTTGGGCCTTAGGGAAAGGCCTGTGCCCCTCCGAGCAGCGCCAGAGTTCCCGACACCACCAGTGACAGGGGCGAATGTGCACAGTCTGGGACCACGCCCGAATTCTTCAAGTTTTCTTGTAGGGTAGAGCCTTCAGAGACCAAGAAGGGATTACCATCCAGTGTCAGGTTACCCACCTGGGGCAGCTCATCTGGCCTCGGCGCCCTAGTCAGCCTGTTGTAGCTGAGATCAAGCACGCTGAGCTTGGCCGGCAGTCCTTTAGGCACCTGCTGTAGCTCAGCGAACGACAGATTGAGGGAGTTTAGCTTGCTAGGCCAGACGCACTCGGGAGCGTCGGAACTTGCGGTTGAGCTCAGTGAATTGTGGCTGAGGTCTAGGCAGTGGAGCTGCACCCCTGCCGCCCCCAGTGCAGTGCACACACCTTTAGGCGTCTGCATCCCCGTGTTGCGCAGCGCTAGATTTTGGAGGGCGGGGAACTTGTGGGGACAGAGAGCCGCCAACAGTCCGCGTTCGCCCAGTCCGGGATTGTCAGACAGATCTAGGGTGGTGAGGGCGGAGAAGGTGCGCACCTGTTCGCAGGAAAAGGCAAGAGAGTGTGCTTGGGCGATGTTCAGTACCTTGAGCCCTGGCTTGAACCACTGCTGCAGCTCGGATAGCCAGGACCCCCCTACCGCCCACGACACGTTACGGAGGCGCAAGGTGGAGAGGGCAGGCCCGGTGGCTTCCAGAGGCTGAGGCGGCGGCGGCAGAGTGCCGGTGACCTCTAGGTCCTCCAGCGTCAGTTCCTTGAGGCGGGAGTATCCTAGCACACGCAAAACGCTGAGCAGTAACCGAGCAGGAACCCGCGCGGCACCCACTGTGAGCCTCCGAACACGCAGAGCCCTGATCATGTCCGCGTACTGCCGCGGATCTTCGTAGTCCTTGGCGCGCTGTAGAAACGGTTCCAGGCTGTGGCCGCCGCCACGGATCTCCACCTCGACAGCAACCATACACTGCATTGCTTCGGTCCACTCGGGCTGAAGTCCCGAGAAGTTGCAAAAGCAGCGGACATCTTCCTCGTCCACCTCACAGGGCTCTGGCATGTTCGCAGAAACACGTAGCAGCAGCGGTAACAGTAGTAGCAGCAAGCAGGGCGCACGCTCCTGGGGAGAGAGAGGGATCATGGAGGCCCCATCCGGACCTTGGGTTTCCCCCAGTGGCCTACATTCGACCCCAAGATCGTACACTCACCATATTGAGTCCCTCAGAACCTTTAAGGCCCTGACAGGCTCTGGGAAAGGCTGTGGCTTTTTTCCTATAAAGCGACGGCACCCGCTGCGCTGGTTTCAAGGCTTCACGCTTGTGAACTCTTTAGTGGCCTCTAAGAGTTTATGTAATACTGGGATGTCATTCTGTTCTCTTCTCTGTTAAAAGCTGGCTACCTCCCCACCACTTGTCCTCCTAACACCCCCGCCCACTTCCGTTCTGGCAAATATTGCAATAAAGGATGTTGCAGGGAGAAGGGTGGCAACGTGAAGGATTCTGTAGGGCATCCAGGGCTCTCTGTCCCAGGCGGTGTCCAAATGACTAAGATGCCCCAGGAAGCAGTAAGTGAGTGCCTTGATGACTCAGGTGCCTGAGGCTTTTCTCGTGTTTATTGGGAAAGAATGATCCTCAGTGCTTTAGGCCAGTTCTGTACTCAATACCCCCACCCCCAATATTCCAGCAGTTTGGCCCTATTAGTTCATTTAACTTCTTTTTGGTTTTGGTTACCGTCAATCTCTCGCCCAAATCCAAGCCCCTGAATATCCTCAGGTATTTAACTGGATGTGGAAGAGATTGCGACATTCATTTATTAGATCCAAAGGGTAGAATTAGGTTAGACCAACTTAGAAGGAAGTTGGTCTGAAGAAAAACTTCCCGTCCTGTTTTTTTTCTTATGCAGTTTTTTAAAGGATTAATTTTCTTAAAAGTAGAGGTGTTTAACAAGGATATATTGGCCAAGTAACTGGATCATTTACATTCTCCATTTTCTGTCCTGAAATTGGAAAGCAAAATATTTCTAATTTCTCTTCTCTCTCTTTTCTTTTCTTTCTTTTTCTTTTGAGAGGAAGTCTTGCTGTGTTGCCCAGGTTGGTCTTAAACCTCTGGGCTCAAGCAGTCCTCCCACCTCAGTCTGAGATTACCTGTGCATGCCACAGCACCTGGCTAGAAGCAGGGCGTTTTGAATCAATTATCCCACTTACACCTTTTTCCCTTCCTCTCAGTACAATTTCTTTGTGCCAAGAAGAAAGGGATGGGCATATGCTGAATGAGGATTTTGCCATGAAAAAAAAGAAAGCAGGTGTCCTAGAGGGTGAGGGTAGGGACTATGCATTTACAACAAACCTTGAAGGCCCACATCCCTAGATGTCTGGGGAAGGAACTACATGAAAATCTTTTAAATATCCATGGTTCCCTTCAGTGGAGAAGTAGCTGAACATCTGTTTTTAACCCAAACAAGGAGGCTCATGAGTGCTCCCTGTATGTCCAGTTGGGGATACCATGATACCCTGGGCCATGCCCCAATTCCACACCAGGTAACATCCCTGAGGACCAAGATGTGAGTATAGCTCAATGTTGAATACACTAACCCAATGTGAGACAGCCAAGCATGGAAATCTATCGAGGGTAGCCTTGAATGCTGTTTCTCTTCCTCAGAGTCTCTGTATTCAGAGAAACCAAGCCACTGAAATCTAGCTCTTGAGGGGAGGCACTCTGGGTGAGGAAGTCCAAGCTAAGAGGGGCAAGATGGCTCTTCAAAGATCTCCAACTCCACCTTGATTCATCAAATATCTATTATTTGTCTATAAGTTCCAGGGGTGGTAGCAAGCCCTGGGATGCAAATATGGTCTCTCAAGTACTCCAGTATGTTGTGGGGAAGCAAACATGAACCCAGAACTACAGTACATAGTGCAGAGGATTCTTTTACAGTGGAGAAACCAAAGGTTTGTGGGAACTCTGGAGAAAGGAACAGACTGCCTTGTAGAAGACAGGATATGGGACTGGTTCTTATAGTGTTAATAGTGTAGCCAGGTACAGAAGAGCAGTTTGGGTAGCTGTAACTGTCTGAGCAGACACTCTGGGAAGAACACAGATTTTGCCTGGGAACTAGTTTTATCTTTCCCAGCAGGAATAAAATTTAGAAGCCAGCCTGTTCAGCCTGGGCAATATAATGAGATTCCTGTTTCTAAAAACAAACAAACAAAAAAATTATCCAGGCCTGGCATGGTGGCTAACACCTGTAATCCTCACACTCTGGGAGGCCAAGGTAGGTAGGATGATTGAACTTAGGAGTCTAAGACCAGCCCGAACAAGAGTGAGACCCTGTCTCTACTAAAAAAAAGAAAAAAAAATAGAAAATTTAGCTTGGCATTGTGACAGGTGCTTATAGTAGGAGGCTAAGGCAGGGGGATCACTTGTGCCCAAGAGTTTGAGATTTCTGTGAGCTATGATGATGTCGCAGCACTCAAGCCTAGGACAACAGAATTAGATTCTGTTAAAAATAAAAATTACCGGGTGGTGCCTGTGGCTCAGTGGGTAGGGTGCCGGCCCCATATAACGAGGGTGGGGATTCAAACACAGCCCTGGCCAAACTGCAACAAAAAAATAGCCTGGCGTTATGGCAGGTGCCTGTAGTCCTGGCTACTTGGGAGTGAGGCAAGAGAATTGCCTAAGCCCAGGAGTTGGAGGTTGCTGTGAGCTGTTGAGGCCATGGCACTCTACTGGGGGCACTGAAGTGAGACTCTGTCTCTACAAAAATAAATAAATAAATAAATAAATAAAAATTACCCCAGCGAGGTGGCACTTGCCTATAGTCCTAGCTACTCAGGAGGCTGAGGCAGGAGAAACACTGAAAATCCAAAAGTTTGAAGTTGCAGTGAACTATGATGATGCCATTGCACCCTACCTCAGGCAAAAAGACCCTGTCTCAAAAAAAAAAAAAAAAAAAAAGGAAGAGGAGGAGGAGAAGGAGAAGGACAAAAGAAGCCAGGCTACTGCATGAGGAAGGGCTCAAGACGCAGGCCCTATTCCCAGCCAGAGTGTAGTCCATAGCACATGCTCAATAAATGGCTATCTGGGGGTTAGAATGGATACTGGGCCTGGAGAAAAGTTGTGAGGACAGAATGATGGTCTGTAGATATTTAACTGGCTATTTTATGGAAGAGATTAAAGACTTCATTGATTGATTTTAGAATTAAATTCAAGGGAGGGAAGTTGGTTTGAAGAACTACCTGGATTTACCCTTACTTGTACTTTTGCCTAAGTAGCAGCTTTCTCTCTCTCTCTCTCTTTTTTTTTTTTTTTTAAGAGACAGAGTCTCACTTTGTCACCCTTGGTAGAGTGCTGTGGCATCACAGCTCACAGCAACCTCCAGCTCTTGGGCTGAGGCGATTTTCTTGCCTCAGCCTCCCGAGTAGCTGGGACTACAGGCATCCACCACAACGCCCCGCTATTTTTTGTTGCAGTTTGGCTGGGGCTGGGTTTGAACCCGCCATCCTCAGTACATTAAGCTGGTGCCCTACTCACTGAGCCACAGGCGCCGCGCGTTAAGTAGCAGCTTTCTAAAAATTACAGGCCTTCCACAAAAATTCGTAAGTGCCACCAGGACACTAACCTCTTGGACCAGTGAAGGGGACATCAAACAATTACATGTAATTGAAATATAGCTGTAAAAAAGGTTATAAAGAAGTAAATGGTGCTGTAGGTTTCTCATAATAGGGGCACTGGTCCAATGGTTTTCAGTAGGTAACGTAAGAAGTGGGATCTTCAGGATGGTTTTAAGGCAAGAATGCTGGTAGAGGGCGTAGACAGGGTTCCAGGTAGAAGGGACAGCCTGTGCAAAACTTCAGGGCTGAAGGAGGAAAAGAGAAGAGCTTGTTTAGGAAACAAAGAGAACATCCCAAAAGAGATGAGTAAAGTGAGGTGCCATTACAGTAGAGACTGGAGAGGTATGCAGGGATTAGACCATGTAGGGCTTACTTGACCACTATTCCGATTTTGAGGGTGAGGAATAGGGTTTTTTATTCATTGGTGTTTCCTGAGTGCCTAGTTGACTAGCAGTGTTCAACATTTGCTCAAAAGATTATTTTATCCCCAAAGTAGTGGGAATTAACTTTTATGCAAATCGGTGAAATAATTATATCTTTCTCATTTTCATGAGCCATATAGCGGGAATAATGGTAATTGTGGTGAGCATTTATACAGCAGCGCTTGTCGTGGTAATGAGGTGTTATTTGGTGAAATGGCATTGCGGCTTTTTCCAGAGCTCGGGTTGTTTTTAATGATTATCTAGAGTGTGTTGGGGGTAGAGATTGTGTTCGTTGAGTTTATAGAGATACTACCTGGGCCGCCGAGGTCGGAGGTGAATTACTTTCTTAGAAACGCGCCGAGGTCGGAGTTGAATTACTTTCTTAGAAAAGCGAAGAGAAACCGCAGGCAGCCGGGAGTGCTCGGGCCTCGCTCCGCCCCTCCCCCCAGCCCAGCCACACTTCGCCCCGCCCCGTTCGCTCCCGCGCTTCCCCCCGCCCTCACTTCGCGCAGGGCCCCACCCCTCGTGTCTGCCCCGCCTCGTCCCGCCCAGCGTAGCTACTGCGCCGTAGGTGGCGTCTTCTGAGCTCGGCGTGCCTGGGAATTTCGTGTAGCTCCGCCATGTGGCGCCGACGGCTGGGCCACCTCAGGCCAGTGGTCTGCGGAGTAGAGGAGCTACGGGGCCGCCGGCGGGAGAAGGAAGCAGGTGTGGGCGGGCAAAGGAGCACGGGAGGATAGGGTATGGCAGTCGGAGATACCTCCTCCCAACACCCCGGTTTCGGAGCAGCGGTTTCTGGGCACCCCTATCACGCTTAGCCGGCTCCTCTGCCCCCAGCACTGCGGAAGGCGCGGAGGGAGCAGCAGCTGGTCAGCAAGAGGCTGCTGAGAGACGACGCCCCGGACGAATCCGGAGAAGGTTGTGTGGTTGCGATCCTTGGGGAAGCAGAGGTGAGGGGGCAGGGCAGGGCGGCACGCGCTGCAGTTCACGCCCACTGGCACCAAACTCCACCCCTCGCGTCTGGAGGAGTGAAGAAGCCAGACTATTGGGAATGTAGATGTTCCACCTTAAACTTGAACGGGATCCCGCTGCGCTTACATCCATCCAGTGAGTCAGGCCAGGGGATCAAGCCAGAAACAGGAGACTCAACCAATATAGCTTTTTGTCACACATCTCCAAATCAATCTATCAAGTCATGGCCGATCTTACCTCCCAAAGAGATCTGAGGTCTTTACATGCCTTGCCATCGCAGCTGTCACCACCATTTATTCTCTACAGCAGCCTCCTAAAGTGTTCACCCGCATCTAAGTTTGCTTCACCCAGTTTGTCTCTTAAAAATGCATACAGACCAAAATCCTTCCTGTGACCTGCAGAACCTACTATGACCTCTGCCTACCTCCAATCAGTACTAATCCCAGCTGCTGTCCTCTTTTCAGTTCCTGGAACAATATA